ATGGGTGAGGAAACAGTCTCAGTCGGAATAAATACATTTGAAAAGGTAAAACAAACAAACAAACAACCCCCCCAAAAAAAACTCCAACTAGTCCTAGTTCAGATCTGAGTCTACATCTATTTGAATTCAAATCTCATGTTCTTTCTGTCACCATATGCTATGTCCCATACTGGCACTTCATAAGTTTGAGGACACCAACACGTTCTTCACTCAGATCCAGTATTTGGCAGTTGAGGTTCAACTGTAAAATAGAATTAATATTTATTTTATTCTACTTTATTTCATGCCAGTCATGGTGCTAGTGTTTTTCACATTTGGTCTCTACCCTCTTCCGAGCCTCAGTTTCCTCATCTGTAAAATGGGCTTAGCAGCTCGAGCCTTCATGTTGAATTAAATGAGTGCTGGGCCCATAGGACATTCTTAATAAGTAGGGCCTAGAATTAGAAACACTAAGCTTTGTGTTGGCTTAAGTGCTCATGTTTAGGTTTTTGTGTTACATGAGTAACATTTAGCCCCCCCCGCCCCCCCCATATGAGCAACAATGAAAGATAAGCACTGGAACAATCAAGCCTAGATGCCTTGGGGAGTCCCCACAGAGAGAGTCACACTTGGGGCATCAGCACCACCTCACTGGGAATAGAAGTCTGGGTTGTTTGCTTTGATGTGACAACTGGATTATATTGTCTTTTTTTTTTTTTTCCTTTGAGAGGATGTTTATTAAAATTGGAAACAGTGAAGCAAGAAAGGACCTAGGACTGAACAAGCCATAGAAGAGAGACTAGGCAGGCAAATGAGCCTGGGCCGGGCTGCTTTGGTTCACTAAGAACTCAGAGAAAAGGGGGCCTTAGGGACAGGTCCAGGGGGCCAGCCCAGGATGAGCTGCCACTGCCCACTGCTCCCTGGTTGCAGGTCTCATGGGGACCCTTAGAGTTCAGGAGATGCTCGCCTGTGGGACAGAAGGGGGGGGAAGGAAAGGCACCGGAGCGCCCCTGGCAGGCAGAGCCTTCTCTATTTTTTTAACAGGAGGAAAATCAAAGCTTAATACATGCGCATGGGGGATTCACATAGGAATGAGGATTCAATGGAAATTCCAAAATACACTGCCTTATCTTAAAGACAGAACTTAGTTAAAAACATCAAGACGCGTTTTCTTCAGTACAATTGGGGAATTTGGACTTAGTTTGAAAGCAACTTCTAAAAATGCATCGAACAAATAAAGCTGGGACAGATATTATTAACAACCTACTTTACCGTAACACCCATGGACATTATTTTCCTGCTAATATGCTGTTTCTCTTCTCTTCGCTAGCGAAGCCTGCACTGGACTCAGTACCCTCCTTTAGTTCCCATCACCTTTGTTATAAAACAACACTTCCTTATAACACCCAACAGGCCTGCTTCCCAGAGCTAGGGTTACACGGAAGGTGGGACATTCTCAAACTTTTTTTGTACATATTGCTGGAACATGCCCTAATTTTGCATTATATCAACCAGATCCTGTGTCCCTTTACTGAATGGTCTACTCATTGAGTTGCCTAAGCTACTGTGACTAAGCTACTTCTCAAGTATCTGGTTCCCATGGAGACAGAACAGCTATCACATTGTCAGGCATTCATTTCTTTCTCAGCCTGGAGAGGAAGGCCCAGCCTTCCATGCTCCCTTGACAATGCTCAGGAATACCATGATACTGGCGCTCCAAGAAAGAAGGCTTGCTTCTGGAACTGCTTTAAGACTTCTCTCCTCGGCTTCGGGGGAGCCAAAAGGATACAGGATTTCTGATCACCTTGGATATTATTATTGCCTTGTTGAACCACAGATTTTTACAAGGCACGATTATCAGATTTGAGAGCAAATTCTGCCTGACTCTAAAGTTCTCTGATGACAAGAACATTAAGCAAGCTTTCTTGCATGCTTCAGGCAACAATTCAATTAGCACGTGTGTCTTCAAAACCTGGCTGCACCATGATCCAACAGGCTAACCTTGAGCATCCAGCATAAAGGAGGTGCTCAATAAATGTTTAGGAAAAACATCAAGCTAAGAACATCTGAGGAGCTTGTGATCCTGGACTGTGCACTGTAGACTCTAACTCTGACATCTCCAGCCCTGACCCTTGTCTCATTCCCGGGCTCACCTCTGCCTCCTTGCCTGGTTCAAGTGGGTGTCTAATAGACATCTCAGACTTGTCTAACACCAAACTTTCCATTTCCCTTCCAAATTAGTTCTTCCCCATCTCAACACTTTCATATGACTATTCTCCCAGTTGCTCAGGACAAACACCTGACAACTATCTTTTCATTCCTCTCTATTACTTATTGCCCACCAGCCCAATCCAAATCATTTGCAAATCCATTTCTCTACCTGCAACAGAATCTAGAACCCAGTCAGCTCTCTCCATTCCTACTGCTAGTTCATCAGCTCACTGCTAAAACCCACTCTGTTCTCCCATTCCTCTGCCCCTACATTTGATTCTCCACACACAACCAAAGACATCTAAAAATCCCAATCAGATGGCTCATGTCCTCTCTTGAAGTTCTTGAATGACATCCTATGGCATGTACAATGAGATCAACTCTCCTGACCACGGCCGGGTGGCCCTTTGTCCCTGCCCTCATCTCTCCTGACTCTGCATCATGAAGCTGGGCCACATTGGCCTCTTTGTTCCTCAAGCATCAAGACCCTTTCTGCCTCTGCACTTGATGTTTCCTTTGCTTAGAACATTCTCTCTCTCTCTCTTTAAGAATATTCTTTCTCTGGATGGTCACATGGCCTATTTACTGGCCTCTTCAGGTCTTTCTTATCCCAGGCCCAAAGTCTTCCCTAAGTATGCTTAGGAATTTGCTTTCTCTCCAACCCCCATCAACTTATAAATAAGCTTACATTTAAATATCTCAAAGCACCCATACTTTAAAGAAATGCAATTTTGCCTTCTGGGAATTACATGTGTTGAAACTTTTTATCACCTGCCCTAGTATGTGAAAAGTAAACAAACAATACTATTTGATGATGCCTCTAAATACGGATAGTTGACACTTTTAAAAATAAAACTCATGGTATTTGTAATGTTTCATTTGGATATTGTTGAGAATCTGAATGAAAAATTCTAGAGAGGCAGCAGTTTCTAGGTTAGGCGTGAATTCTGTGTATAAATCAATAATTTATGGTCAATGATTAATGGGAGGTCAGTAGGGCATGAGATGTTCACTGCCGCCCTCCAAGCTGGCCCCTTCAGCAGCTACAAAGAACTGATCAAGACAACTCTCTTTGCATCCATTTGGCCCTTACTTAACAAGAAAGGTTTTAAAGACTTGAGACTTTACGGAAGGTTTTCAAATGCTGGTTTTCTATATGCATGTTCTTTCCAACACTGTGGTGTGAGTTCCAAGTGCCACCTTTTTTTGTGGTCTTCTCTCAGAAGTTAATATTTAACAATAAGATGCTCCAACTGCTGTGCTTCACAAATAATTTATTTCTGGACGGAAATTCAAATGGTGAAATGTGCATTTTTCATCTTTTTTATCAGGTTTAGGAGAAGGAGCCCTGCATAGTGAAGCTCAACTAACAATTCCTCCATGTTCCCCTCCACGCCCCGCCCCCTCCACGCCCCGCCACGCCCCCGCCCCGCCACGCCCCCGCCCCGCCACGCCTACATAGCAGGCACTCAATTACAGCCACTGAAACGACGAACACCTGGGTAGACTCTGCAATGTCAGCACGCACATTTCATGGGCATCAACTTTGCACATTACTTGCCTTAGTTTCTAAGGCTCCAAACCAATAGCTTCAAGAATCTAAGACTTGTAATATTATTTCTTTAAAGATTAAAAAAAAATTAAAAATACAGCCCTGGCCGGTTTGGCTCAGCAGTTGGAGCATTGACCTATGGACCAGAAAGTTCTGGGTTCAGTTTCTGCTAGGGGCATATACCAAAAAAAAAAAAAAAAAAAAAATTAAAAATATCATATTAATTTCAGAAATTACCTATAGCAACTTTATTTTTTATTTTTTTGAAATTCTCACTCAAGGATATTTTTCCATTTATCTTCAGATAGAGCTGGGGGTGGGGCATGGGGAGAGAGAGAGAAACATCAACGTGAGAGAGACACATCGAATGGTTGCCTCCCACATGACTCCGACCAGGACCAGGGACCAAACTGTAACCAAGGTATGTGCACTTGGTTGGAATCAAACCCGAATCTCTCTGGTCTGAGGGCCAACGCTCTAACCACTGAGCCAAACTGGCCATGGCCCCATAGCAACTTCAAATAGCATGATATTTGTTTGGGAACATTTATGAATCCATCAAGCAATAGATAAAAAAAAAATGTCCAAGGTTTGGGAAAACCCAAATGCAAAACATTGAAACTGAAGGTCTATTCATGTAAGGTGGACTGTAACATTACTTTTTACCTACAACACCAAGATAAGTATTGTAATAACTCAAACATAGAGTATTGGTCCTATTGTCATTCAGAGGCTCAATTCTACACACCATTCAAATAAATTTAGATCCATGGCAAAAGGACTTATAAAGACATTCCTAGTAGGTGCTTTGAAAATGAAATATTAAGACTGCTAATCACTGAAAATAATAGCAAGTGAATATTTGCTCTATTGAATATGTCATGAATAACAAAATAAATCAAAAGATATAGCAAGTAAAAAAATACAACCCAACCCAAAAGGTCTTTCTGTGTCATTTATACATTTTAATATTTCATCCTAGAATAACATTCAATCACTTTTATTCACTGTGGTCTGAAATAAGAATGAATTAAATTGCATAAAGTTTATCTCATTTCTAAAGACCTAAAAAATATCTCCTTTTGTTCATTTACATGTTTTTGCCTCCTGCATATATCTGATTATGTCAATCCATCGAGTTGTTTTCCTTTTTCGATTTTAAATTTATCGTTTAAAGTTTAACCACATTCCCATTTGGACAAAAATTCAATTCTAGACCTTGTTACTCCAAAGAAAAAAAAAGCGTCTTGGTACTCACCCTCCCGTATCTGTTGGCGTAGGATCCAGTAAGCAAGGAGTGGAAAACGATGATGGTCTCATCCAAGTCCCAGATGAACACCCTCTACAAAGGAAGACCACATCAACAAGTCTTTCTCGTGCTTGAGAAACCTTGTTATTCAGTTAACTTCAGCATGAATAGGTAGTGTTGAAATAGGAGACAAATGAAACATCTGAATTTACTATTTAAAAACAACAACAACAACAACTATTCAAAGTATATCTCCCAACTTTTCTTCAACTGTAACCTCAGAGGACCTATAAGAGGATAATTATATTAGCAACATCAGTATAAATATAGGAGAGAAATAATAATATATGTCCTTTCTACTACTGGAAAAGGTTGTCAGTCTCAGTTCTGAAGAAACAAAAAATGAGCTCACACTAGTCTGTTTATAGAATCTGAGACAGAGAGGGGCAATCAAAAATCGTTCAATTTAGCTTGTCCTTTTTTCTGCTCTCTTAATTAAGTAGTGTTAAATTAGCTAATCTTATGTTTTATTTTTATCAAGCCAAGTATTTAAAAAATCATACACAAACACTAAAACTTGACATCATCTATTCACCTTATGTTACCTAGAGGGCTGTTATCAAATGGCTGGGTTATAGATTGTTCCTCTTTGGTTTTCCTGTGATTACAGATAGTTAATAACATGAGCAGGCACATCACACCTGCTCTTGCCACACTCCTGCAGTATTGGGGATTGGATCTGAAGAACTCATTTCCAACAGGTCTTTGAGATCCACAAAAGGCCTCAAGTCTGTTTTTCTTCTTTCCATTCCCACTCACACCAGCACATGCTCCTATAGGTGCTGCTGAAAATTGCCATCTTTTCAGCCAAAATAATCATGTTTTCCACCATCAGATTTCACTTTGGCAGAAGACCAGAAACATAATTGCAGGGGATTCAGAGCTTTGAAATCTACCACCATTTAAGGTTTTAATTTCATCCCTCCTGCTTTTAAACTCCACCAAAACTTGCCTCATAAGAGGATGACCACTTCAATTTAGAACACTCCAGGTTCTCCTTTAACATATATATGTCTTTAATTACTTAATTAAAATGACAATAAAGAGAATTTTGTTCAAGCAGAATTATATTATTTACTGTGTTTCCTTAGAGAGAAGTAAACAGGTACTTTACCCTATAGTTCAAATGGAAGAGAAAATAGAAATAACTGCTTTACTATAATGACTACGAAAGAGAGAAAATAATGCTTTCCCTGTAATTACTATGGAAAAGCAGCAGTAACAAAGGCATTCGGACACCTTGGTCACTGCCACCGACAATGCAGGTATTCAGAACCACCCCTTAGCCTTGTCACTTACTAGGGCGCTGGGGGCAACGACGTACCTCAAGATCAGAGTCCGGGGGAGGTGAAGGATTATTATTTCTTCGGCCTCGTCCACGAGACTTCCCATCTGAACCTCGACGTAATCGATCGGAGTCCGAGTCTTTAATGGGCGTGGAAGGGCTATGGATCGTGCTGTACTCTGCAGACAGAGAGGAAGAACATTCGCCTTGGGTCTGGCACCACAGTGCCACAGTGAACCTCGTTCTCATTCCGGGGAGTTCGAAGAGAACACCTTTCTTTCTGCTCCAGTTCCATTACTTTTTACTTGCATTGGCAACTGATTTCTGAGATATTTGATGCCTAGACTTCTTTTGAAAAAAATATATGATCAGAAAAGACTAAAGTTTAATGGAAGACAACAGGTTGTACTCAGTTGCTGGAATTTTCTTTGTGGTTCTCTATGATGAGACCCCCCGCCGCCCCGCCCAGCTCCCACTCCTGCTCTTGACTCTCTCATTCCACGGAGGGGGAGGGGGGGGCCTGGCCACACCGAGAGGTTCACACACGAGCCGTGCCAGCCGCTCTCACACCTATGAAAAGGTTTCTGGTCCATGGAAAGAAATGAAGAGAAAATGAGCTCTGGGGCTGGGGAAACAATCACCAGGCAGAGTTTTTTTGTTTTTTTTTAATTTAAAAATCTCCATGTTCTCCCCCATTTTATGTGAGAACGAGGCAAGATGAGGAGAGCAGAGCTATATGGGCAGAACCCGTGCTCCGTACAGCATTCATTACAGGCTCTTCCTGTGTCTTAGCCTCTTTGAACCCCAAATCCCAAGGCAGCACACTGAAATTCTTTATCTGGGTAACCCAGAGAAATCGCAGAAATAATCATATAGAAACCACAAAATAAAGAACAACCCCCAACTAGCTCAGAGGATCGGCTGGGCAGTGGTTGTGGAGCTGGGAAGACACTTATCCTATTTCCAGAATGAACAACGAACCATTTACTCTCCCCCATTTTTTTCTTAGTCCATCCAGTTCATGATTCTGACAGTTTCTACCTCCCCAATGTCTACATTCCGGATGTGCCAGTGTGCTGGCTCTCCCCAAAATCTTGGCCAGAATCTCTACTAGATATGGGTTAGAATCTCGCGATCTGCCATGAGGAATGATTCTTCTCATTGAGACATTGTTGATGCCCCATTCCACCCAACTGAAAACTACAAAGACAGGTGAAGGCCTTTATCATTGTACTGTCAACTCTGACTCTACCAACAAGTCACCCATGTGTCAACCATGAGGTCTCGGCATTACCTCCAAGTTTAAGCCTTAGGAGGCAGGGCAGATAAGAATGGACTGACAGAGTCAAGTCCATTTCTAAATCACATGAAGCAGCCCTATACCTCCTTCCTGCTTAATTTGAAAAGCTAAACAGATTCCTGCCATTTTTAGATAAGGCTTTTGCATGTCCTCTGCCATAGCAAATAAGACAGCAAACTCTCATGTAAACAGGTCATGTGATCCTCGTACCCAGAAACCATTGTGATGACTTACAAGCCTATTAGTTAATGATGGGTGTTAAGTTCCAAACAACACCCCTCAATGGGTCTGTTTATGTAGTTGTTTGGGATGTATTTTTGAGCTAACTCATCTTGTAGAATTGTGAGAATACAGTGCTGGTTGGTCAAAGTTAAGCGCTCTCAAAATCTACGTAAAATCATTTTTCTTGCAAAAGCAGGTAACTCTGGCATCTTCTCCTCAGGTTGTTCCAAACCAAGCATCTCTCTTCCATGTGTTAGAATTAGCAGCTCCAAGTGAATATATTTTTTAAGGAGATCAGTGGGTTCAAAGTTGTGCTCTGAAGAAAAAGTCTTGACCTTCCTTTTCTTTTTTTTTCCTCACCCGAGGACATTTTTCCATTTTTTGTTCAGATGGAGCGGGAGGGAGAGAGAGGAACAGAGAGAGAGAAACATCGATGTGAAGGGACACATCGAGTGGCTGCCACCTGCACGACCAATCAGGGCCGGGGACAAACTGCAACCGAGGTACGTGCCCTTAGCAGGAACCGAACCCGGGTCTCTCGGGACCGCAGGCCAACGCTCTAACCACTGAGCCAAACCGGCCGGGGCGACCTTCCTTTTCTTTAAATATTCTGCAATATCCATGGAGAACCTGGATAGCCACCATTTTATACACAACACATGCTGATCTCTTTGTTTTAAAACAGAGAATTTACTTTGCAATTGGCACAGCTGGCATCAAATTTGACCCATACTTTAAGTATTTGACTGCAAAGTCTATCTTTAAAAAAAATTATTTAATTATTTATTTATTTAGTTAGTTAGTTAGTTATTTTAGAGAGAGAGGAAGGGAGAGGGACAGACAGAGAAACATCGATCTGGAATCAAACCAATGACCATTGGTAAATAGGATGATGCCCAACCAATTGAGTGACACAGGCCAGGGTCTGCAAAGTCCACCTTGAATCGTGAGTTCTCCAGCTTTTGTAAGTTCATTTTGAGAAGAAGCTAAAGGATATTAAGCAGTGTATCTTACCACATTATGTCTTTTGCCTTGACTTCCAGATAGCTTGGGCTTAACTCTGTCCTCAAGGTTTATCTTACCTATGTTTTCTTAGCCTAGATTTCCTCCTAGCGTTTCCCATTCCTTTATCCATTTGTGTTTACTTCTGTACCTCTGTTTTAAAAACTCAATTAAATCTGTCAAAATATATCTATTTCAATTTTTTTAGAAATAAAAAAAGCTATAATTAAATTGATTACTCACTTCTGTTACCCCCACCCCCAAATAAATTCAATGACCAAAGTATACACTATAAAATGATCACATCTAAAGTTTTTCCAGGTGGAAAAAACGTCCTACAAGATGGACAATCTGATACCTTTAAATATTAACACACACACAGTTTTCAGGTCTCACCTTCTTAGAAGGAAGATGAAATGTAAATGATGCAAGCTAGTTTTAAAACATTTCTTCCTCTTTGTTCGATGAGGTGGAATGAAATGCATCTTCTCTCCTAATCAGCTTTCCTGACTCTAACTTCTTCCTCCTACTAGTGCACAACAACTCAACAAATAATTTAATCTTCTAATGCACCGACATCTCATGTTTCGTTAAAATCCTCTCCAAGTTGTTCAACTTCACCCCCACTGAGATAATGGGTGTGAAAGCTCTCAGAAGGGCATTCGTGTCATTTCACAAACACTGAATGCTCACACTCGGGCACTGTACCAGGCAGGAGTCTGAACAGCAGGTGCTATTCCGAAGAGACTCGGCTCCTGCCTTCTTGGAGATTAAATTCAGAGGACGGCACAGATTCACGAAATGAATGAGAGATTACAAAGCAATGTGGAAAGGGGTATAACATGGGAAACGCAAAAAGCTAGGAGACCACAGAGAAATCCACATAATTCAGATTTATAGGGTTGTGGAAGCTTCCTGAAGATGGAGAAAAATTCACCAGTAAAAAGAGAATGGAAATGTGCTCCAGGCAGCCACTGGAGCTGGGAAGGTGGGGGTCAGGGGGACAGGGAGGGAGAGGGAGAGAGATGGAAGGGGGGGGGGGATTGAAAATGAGATTAAAGAACTGAAATAAAATCAATCTGACCTGAATCTATAGAGGAAGAGTACAGAGATGAGGCTGGGGGTTGGGCAAAGATTTCAATAAGAGAGTGAAGTGATCACATTTCCATTCCGATAGAGGGCTCTGGCTCTGGCTCTAAGGCGGGCGGGACATGGGTGATAAGTGGTGGCTGAAAAAGGGAGCCCAGCCCAGAGGAAAATTCTGTCATTCAGGTCAGGGACACTGGTGGCCCAGATACAGGTAGTGGGGTCAGGAAGAGTTAACGTTTTTAAGTGTCACTGGGAGGCGAAACCAATTGGATGAGAAAAAGGAGGAAGTCAAGTATGAAGCTCAGGCCCATGGACTGGCAACTGGGCAGATGATAATCCAAGGTATGAGATTTAGGAAGAAAACATGGTTATAGGAAGAGTGCAGGTGAGATTCAGCCCAGCTTTTGGACACTGAACTCGAAGAGTCTGTGGCATTCATGTCCAGTAGGCTGCTGGACTACTTTGAAGCTCAGGAAAGAAATGTGGTTTGGAAACTGACACCAGATATAACCTAACAAATGGGTGTAATTAAAAACACGCAGCATGTGTAGACGAGATGGGCAGAGAGTGATGGGGGTGTTAGGAGAAAAACCAGGTTCGGTGTACCAGAGGAGAGAGTACAAAAAGAGGGTGATCAGTAACTTCAGCAAGAGCCAAGGTGACATGAAGACAGAGTCCATGAGTATTTCAGATGTAAAGTCAAAGAGGTCTTTGGTATATTTGGCAAAAGTATAGATTTGAGAATTATTTGGGAGGTAGATTGGTGGAATAAAAATGAGGCAGCAGAAAGCAGAAGAATAAGCAGGAGTTAAAACTCTTAAAATGTTATTGATGACACTGTAATGGCCAAATCCAATCATTTTAATTGATTTTTATAGAGAGGAAGGGAGAGAAAGAAACATTGATATGAGATATAAACATTGATTGGTTGCCTCTGGTACACATCCTGACAGGGGATCAAACATGCAATCTGGGCAAGTGCCCTGATGGGGAATCAAACCCACCACCTTTTGGTGCAAAGGATGATGCTCCAACCAACTGAGCCACACCAACCAGGGCTCCAATCATTATCTCTTAGTCCTCAATCATATTTGAGCTCTCTGTGGCTGTGCTGACCACTCGTGCCTTCAAACCATGTACACATCCCTTTCTTCTGCTTCTCAACCTGCCTCTCATGCTATCCCTTGTCCATCTCTTTGGAGACTTCTTCCTCTGCCCAAAGCTTCAATATTAGTGTTCTCTAGAATAGTGATACTCAAAGCGTTGCACTGGACAAATAAGGAGTCTGCATCCGGACGTTAATTAATGCAATGCTTCCTTCACTGCAAGTCTTGCTCAGATTAAAAGGGAAAAGTCAGCTAAAGTAAACAGTGGGTTTAGTGAGGTAGCTGATTACATTCTGAGGTAAATCCTTTGTGCTATCATGGACTAGTAAGAAGCAATTAGTGGACAGGTAGTCAGTGACTGGACTCATTTTGAATTGCAGAGTTTTCTCTGTGGTCCTCTTATCTCACTATAAGCTCTCAGTAGTTGATAGTATTTGTAAGAGGGATTTCAGTGATAACC